AAACACGAAAATCTGCAAAATGGAAGACCAACTCGTTGAGTTCATGCTTTAACTCATGAACTCGTCGAGTTTTTGGCCGGTACTCGTCGCATTTTCATTCTGGGCAGATTCTTGGTTTTGAAAAATAAGTTACATCAAGTATAATTGAAAACAACTCTAGGATCTGATATCACTGATGGGTTTTGAGCATTCTAACACTCCTATGGTGTGCATGCAACCCTATGTGCTTTGGATCTATGTTTTCACTATTATACATGCAAATATACTAAATTCCAAAGCATCATCCTAACTAGCATACAATGAAGCAACTATACTACAAAAGTCTAGTTAGACGACATACCTTTTGATGGAGCTTGAAGTCTTAAATCGTTAAGAGCTTAGTGCCCCAAGTGTTGCACCTCAAATAGTTCGCACAACACCAAAAACAATTGGAATAACTTGAGAAGAAGGTTACTTAGGTTCACCTTATGAAAATCGGTCTTGCCTTCTTTTGTGTATATATACTAGTCCCATTTCATGAACCATAGACCTCTTTATATAGTGTGGAGAATTAGGGTTACATTCATGTAAACCCTAATACCCATGACCTTTCATTTCCATAGGATCAATGGGTTAAAACTCCATGGACTATCCATGTAAGCTTAGCCCAACCTAAATGAACTTGGCCCATCCTATATATATATATATATATATATATATATATATATATATATATATATATATATATATAAGAGTCCATACTTAATTGGTACATTTTGATCACTAAATTAATTCTTTATCAATACTAATTAAATAATGTGATTTCTTATTAATATATTAGAACTTAAAATATATTAATATAAATCATAAATAACCTTTTTCTCATTTATCTATCCAATTGTTTTGATGCCATGCAACCCAAATGGACCATGCTACTCTCGGGTCGAGTATATACCAATAATAGTTACGGGCTTAGACATTTAATCCAACAGAAATTCCCTTAACAGGGAGGTAATGTGACATCCCAGAATTTAGATCAAAGACTGTGAATAGTAAATTCACAATAAATCTCTTGGTAATTTGACTCATTGAGTTTTAGTGCATCTTATGTAAAATAAATGAGTTCATTACAATTATTATAAGATACCAGATGGTATAGCTCAAACTACAACCATAGTAATGCATCTGAAAACTAAAATTTCGTATTAAGCAATTGTGAGCAATACAAACACTCTAGTCTTGTAGTATATGTTTCATTGATTCTGAAAATATAAAGAACGTTCAAAACAGAGTTCATATGTAAAAGATACGACTGCTTTAAGAATCCAAAACCAGTATAATACTGATTTTTTTAAAATCGTTAAATCCGTTTCTTTCTGTTGAGGGACTTGCACACATCAAACTGAAATTACGAAAGCATTTTTGGACTTAGGCTATAGCCTAATATTTAATTTCATATTTAAATTATTTTTTGTAAAAATATTTATAAAAATTAGACGTTTTGGAATCAGTTAACCATAGTATATATAACATTACCCATTTTGGTACCATGATTTATACATTTTGACTCCAATGTTTAACCATGTATTTTTGTTTAAAATACATGTTAAATTATTTAAAATAATATGCAAATACATACACAAATACATGTATTAAATGCAGTTTATTATCTATATACTTATACATGTATGTAGGGGTGTCGAACGGGTAAAATTTCCGGGTTTCGGGTAGAACGGGTCGGGTAGAACGGGTATTTCCTTAAGAAAATAATACCCGATACCCAACCTATATTGTAATTCGGGTTTTCGGGTTTCGGGTATTCGGGTTTGAGGCCGGGTCGGGTAATTATCGGGTATATCCGAAAATTTATTAAATGATACTTATTGATAATTTTTTTTCTTTATTTTTTTATTTTTACATGTTGGTTTGTTTAATAAAGAATCGGGTAGGAAAATAATCCATACAATTAACAAGTATATATATAATAACAATACAAATCATTATAATATGTTATGTATTTTTTTAATTCCATTCCGTGCGATAGTGAGAAACTGAGAATTGTGATGACGGTTCACGACTTCAGCTTCAGCGTCGCATTCCCTTTGCAAGTTTGCGTCGACTGTCGATCATAAGAAGGAAACGAAGGGTTTTATTTTATTTGAAGTGTGCGTACATGACTGCATTGATATTTGGTATTATTTAAAAAACGAATTCAGATATTCGGGTATACCCAAAAATAAATATTCATACCTAAAACCCGACCTATATTATTATCTGGTTAACCTATTACCCGAATGTTCATACCCGTTACCCGTTCTACCCGACCCATTCTACCCGAATTCGGAACGGATCGGGTGGGTAGAACGGGTTTCGGGTTTTTTCGACAGGCCTACATGTGTGTATAAGTAGTACAATTCAAAGAGTGTATACTTGGCCAATAAATAAATAAATATAAACTGCATTTAATTGATACACAAAATAACTTTAAATTGGAAAACAAAAAAATCATTTATTTTATAGCTCAAATCTTGATAAACAAATCTTATACAATTCCAAATCTTCCCCTCACTTTCGATCCCCTTTTCTCACATAAACACATACACACATAGTTGCACGCAAAGATCAAACCAAATTTTTGTCGAAATCTATTAGAGATGATAGTTGCAGCTGGCAATGATACTTCACATCTCCCACACACAATCTCTCTCAGCTTTACTCATTTGGGTCGCCGGAAAAACGAAGGGCGGAAGGAGGACTGCCAACTCCCACTCACCAATGTACCACCTCTTCCTTCCCCTTTGACAGTCGACAAGAAACCCACAAACACCCCCTTTTTGCTACTACCGGCGACGAGGAGTAGGCCCAAAAGGGACTCGCCGGAATTCCGTTGTCCCATCCACCACTTCCCGTCGATTTAACCAGCCAAACACGCCTGAAGACCATTGTTGTTGCTGCTTCATCTTTCCCATTCAATCCAGCTTCTTCCCACCTGCATTTGTCAAGACTATCAAGCCATAAATTGCATGTTCACCACCCCTACAACCCCTTTCCTGTGAACAGACAAACAAAATCCAAAAAAGAAACTTTTACCCGTTATTGTCGGAACTGCCACCGTTGCCCAAAAGATTTCCGACCAGCCATCGTCACCTCTCGCACATCTCCCCTTCTTCGGTCGAGCAAAATCCACCAAAGCCCCCACCTGCTGCCCTATTTCCACCATCGAATTCCAGAAAGCCCCTCGCACCCCTCTTGGTCTCCACTTTCCTTCGCCGATTTCACAGCAGGTCCAAACCAACCCTGCCGTCGCTGACTGCTTTGACCCATCGGACCCTTCCCTCTTTCGCATCTCAAAGCCAGACGAGGACGAAAGAAGCCTCGCTGCTTCTCCCCATCTTCTTTCTTCGCCTCGTCAAACCCCGGAAATGAACCTTCTCGCGGTCGATCGATGAAATCGAGCCTGCGAGCCTTCGTGTTCTCCCATCTCGCTGTGTTCGTCCACTGCTTTCGTTCCTGTTCCTTCTCCATTACCCCTTAGGTCTGAAGAAGACGACGCCTCTTCCGGTTGTTGGAGCCCTTTTGATCGACTGGAACGAGACGAGACTTTGAGACTTCGACTAAAGAAAAACGTGTTTTTGATTTTCACCATGTCAAAATCAAAGGGAATCAAAACTTGAATTTAAATTTCTCAAAATTGACCCTCATTTGACAAAGCATTAAAAAACTAGTCCCAAAGCCTAAATATTGGACCAGAAAAGTCCCTCCTTGGTTATTTCCAGCAAAACATCTCCCAATACTCAAACAGTAATACCATTTGAACCATTTTAATCCCACCTTTTAATTATTTTAATCAAATCAGTCCTATTTTGGTTAATTAAATTACGCAACAACCCCCAATAGTTTAAATTTGTTACGAAACGGTCCTGGAAGTATTTCAAAGTTCAAGAAACGTGACTTTGCGGTGTCTCATGTCAAACTTCTCAAAAGAAACTGAATTCGAACAAATTGAACTCACGCTTCAAGGGTGAGTATTATAGCGCCATTTTAACGCTTTTACATATTTTGGGGGAGAGGGGAGAATACATGTGCTATAATTTATTTGGTTTATGAAAAATACTTACTAATTTATAACTATAACTAGTTTATACTATGTTATTTTATTAAGTAACACCTCATTGGCAAATAAAGTAGTTATCACATGCTATATAGATATATTATAGTTGTTATGATTATATTACAACTAATAAAAATGATATATCTTTCTAGTACAAAGTGATATGATTTCTTATGTAAAAATTTTGTCATAAAACATGTGTCATAATCCGTTATCAACTCTATAGTTTTCAACATTATATCGTGATTGCATATATGCATATGGGTATATATACAAGCTATAAAACTTGTATGATAGATTCTTACATGTATTAGTGTACACACCCATAAGATTTGTCACTTGTTTAAACGAATATCATGTACTGTTATGCTTATACTTATCAAACATACTAGACTTTTATCTGTACAATTACATTCGTATACTTTAGTTAATGACCCTTATCGTCAAACTTTTTAAAACAAATTTATCCGTATTTGCGGTTGCTAACTACAACCCTGACAGATAACTATATCCGTTTATCCATATATGCGGTTGCTAACTACAACCCTGGTAGATAATTATATCCGTTTATCTGTATCTGTGGTTGCTAACTACAACCCTAGCAGATAACTATATTCGTTTATCCGTATCTGCGGTTGCTAACTACAAACCTAGCAGATAATTATATTCGTTTATCTGTATCTACGGTTTCTAACTACAACCTGGCAGATAAATATATCTGTTTATCCATATCTATGGTTTTAACTTTAACCCTAGCATATAACTATATTCATTTATCCATATATGCGGTTGCTAACTACAACCCTAGCCGATAACTATATCTATTTACTAGTTTATAACCCGTGAAACCACGGCTACAAAATTAATTAAACTTTAATAGTTAGAACACAAAATTATTAATTAATTATAATCGTTAATTTAAATAAATATGTGAAATTATATCACCTTATAATTTTTATTAAATTTATTTTAATTTTTATTCTATTGTTATTAGTTTATTGTAATTAAAATGAAAATTTTAAAATTTGAAATAGATAATTAATAGGTTGACAAGTGACATGCATTAATTAAGACCTTTAATAGGGTGACACATGGCGAAAAAAGAATAAAATGTGTATTAATTAGGAGACCTAATATGATGACACATGTCAAAAGGAGATTAAAACTATTCTTTTATTAGAATAGGGATCTGTATTTACGGTTGCTAACTACACCCCTGGTAGATATTTATATTCATTTATCCGTATCTGCAGTTGCTAACTACAACCCTGGCAGATAACTATATCTGTTTATCCGTATCTGCGGTCGCTAACTACAATCCTAGTAGATAATTATATCTGTTTATTCGTATCTGACGTTGCTAACTACAACCCTGGAAGATAACTATATCTGTTTATCCATATTTGCGGTTGTTCACTACAACCCTGGCAGATAATTATATTTGTTTATTCGTATATGCGGTTTCTAACTACAACTCTGGTAGATAACTATATCCATTTATCCATATATGCAGTTGCCAACTACAACCCTGACAGATAACTATATCCTTTATCTGTATTACTGAAACTGTACTACTTTATCTTTTTATTCATAGAACTAAAACTGTACTACATTATCTGTTTATTGGTAGAACTTAAACCGTACTCCTTTATCCGTATAAATATCTTAAACCTTTACCTATCAAGTCCAAAGAAGCGTTGTAAGGGTTACATCTCGTCACATAGTTTGGTTATAGGATTCACTACAAACATTAACTAGAATCCTTCTCTCTTATTACAAATCATAGGTTTGATTTCTTTCAAAACTATTTTAAGTATGAATTTACTTATGAAAGATACATTTTCGTTGTTCAAAAGTTATTCAAAGACTCTTTACAAACACAATTTTAAATATTTTTATACTTACAAAGAAAATATATTTTAAACTTTTTAAACGTATTACTGCTAACCACAGAAAATTTGTAATTCTCACCAACCTTATGTTGACCCTTTAAACTACATGTATTCTCAAGATATCATCAAACAAACTCTCATAAAGGTTAGTTATGGATTTCAGGCGACCTAATTATCTAGTTTTTATTTTGTTATATTTGCCTACATGTTAAGGCAATTCATGTATTATTATTAGTTGTAAGAACCATGTATTCAGACATCAAGATGGAATACGAATGCTATTTTCTTATTGTTGTACTTGTGCTATATATTCAGTTTGCATGTGATCCATAAACTTAGTCGCACAACTCAGTGTTCCGCCGCCTCGTCCAGGGTGTGACAATATTGCAATCACCTTTGGGTAAAATACAACATTTATGCATTTTATGCTTAAATTTCATTGTAGAAGTTATGATTCTTTTAGCCTTTTAATAACAACTCAAAAAGCTGCTTAATATGACATTTAATCAACTCTAATGTTAAAACTAAACAATCATTCTTTGGTCCAATCACTTAACTATAACATCAAAGTCACCACTATAAATTACATGCTCACAAGGTATCGATAACATCTTGATAGCGTTTTTTTAGACATATGAATATGTATGTGTGTGTATATATATATATATATACACACACACACATACATACAATTAGGTTCAAATGAGAACAATTATATAATTGATAATGCATGAACAAATTTGAGCCACATATTTCTTTTTGCCACAAAACCATCCGGCGTACCGACGCGACGAAGGAATGTAATATTCATATGTGAATATAAAGGTGACTACATTCTCAAGTTTACCACCCCCACCACCACAACCATAGCCACTGCTACCCTGGCCACCAACACCACCTCTGCCACCAACCACGATATTCGTATATGAATAATTACTTGAGAATAGACATATATTCATTCATACATGAATATAATTATAAATTCAAATATGAATATACATATTCATATATGAATAAGTATATACTTATTCATATATCAATATCCATCATCGTCACCAACACCTCTATTGTAACGTCCCATTTTTACAACCAAACATTTTCATTTTATTTAAGTAAAGCCTCCCAATTATAAATCCATTAGGAAGAAAATCGTTTAGTCCAAATACATTTATTGGAAATCAGAGTAATATTAAAACACGAAATCTTTATTGTTGCCGATAAATGTGTACAGTTACGCCTCCGCCTTCCCATGATGACCGATGATACATAAAACAATAAACAACTAGGTAAGAAATAAACTTAGTGAGTTTCCCCCAAAATACCCCATACGATAAACATACAAGCATGCATCGGGTCCAATCAGCCATCGGGCTGGAATACCCAGGGTTTGTTGGACTTCCGCCTCAACCCAACCGCTTATTGAGCCTTCGTGCCTCTAGCTTACAGACGACCCGTACCAGGTATCTTGGCCTACAACATAAATCCAGACCGCCTCAACCCACTACCACCATACGTTGAGATATAAACAGTCAAGGATCAAGTAGGCACATAATGCAGGCAAACAGTAATCATACAACTCACTACCACCTACTAGTCCTCACATCGCACATTGTCCCGCTACCAGCTATCCTCCATAAAATGTGTAACCATAAGTAGCCAGAGGTGAGATAGCCACCCGAACAGATGATCCTACTCTAGAGCCATAACCAAAAAAGGAACAGGAAAGAAAGCCAAGATCAAGAGTTCTCAGGCTATCCTACATGGCCACATACAGTCCCTACGACACTCCACTAGATGATAACCAGCAAGTAAAGGTAGACATACAGATTTATAGATCACTACCGCATAGCAACATCCTATATACCAAGATACAAATCTAATAGATCACTACATCATAGCAACATCCTATATACTAAGATACAGATCTAACATATCACTAAAACATAGCAACATACTATATACCAACAATCCAAGGAATGCATAACCGTATAAACTCAGAGGTAAGATAGACACCCTAGCCGGTGATCCTGCTCTAGAGCCACAACCAAACAAGGAACATGCAAGAAAGCCTAGATCAAGAGTTATCAGTCTATCCTACATGACTATATATAGTCCCTATGACATCCCTCTACTAAATATAATTAAAACTACCTGGCTGACATTGGTGCCTTCGTCCCACGGTACAAGAAGTGAGCAAAAACCGAACTGAGAAATTAAAAACCGAAAAAACCGCAACCAAAAAACCGAAACCGATGCAAAATTCGAGGATGCGGATTTATTTTCACAAAAAACCGAAGTTAGTGGTGAGGTGCGGTTTTTATCTAGAAACCGGTTCACCAAAGCCTAAGCGCACCGAAGGCGTATAAATAATAAATCATAATTTATATTATATACATATTATTTAAAAGACTAATATCTACTATATGTTGAATTTGTCGGTACTTAGGTTTCACGATTAAACTTTAATAGATATACATGTCAGTATGTATAATGTATGTGAGAATATATCTTTATTTTCTCAT